CCCAAACCCCCCCCAAAAACCCAGCCAAAACGCCCCAAATGCTTACAACACCACCTCAGAAACCCACCCCCAACGAGTGGCACCCCCCCAGTCTACAATAAACTCCCTGACCCACCAACCCCGCGTTACGCCGGCAATCTTCAGCACCCTTGACCATAAACCGTAGTCCCAGACCATCACAACTCACCTACAGAGAGACCACACACACCCACCACCCACCATGGGGGGCCACCGAAACGTTCGGTAACGGTCACCACACCCTCCACCCTTCCCCTGTTGTGTGGGGTTGGGCTGTTTAAGTTGCGTCCCGGCTTCCCCCCCTCGCTCTCACCCCCCCTCCATGATCTAACGTATGTCAGAATAGACAAAACCCACGTACCCCTGACCACGAGCGCCTAAGCCTCCCAAACGCCCCGCATAATGAAATAAAATAATACAACATCCCCAGTTTAAGCAACGCAATGTTAACCACTAAATGACGAAAAACAGCTGATGAGAATACGCCAAGTTGCTAAATTCAGTAAATTCTGTTTAAATGTTGTTTCTTCTTGCTTTATTGAAATTCGTGAAGGGAACTGCCTGCATAATACAGCTAACGTCAAGCGTTGACATTTTACGAAGATGGTGGTTTAACATATCTACGCCGAACACTCCACAAATCTTCTGGTACTTTTCTACCGCCAAACCATTTTTGGACAATTAAATCGATGAGAAAAAACGATCCTTGGTTATCTGATTCGCTTCCCATCTTACACACTTGATGATGTGGCTAGGAGCTGATGATTGTAACCTGGATAGCCTTTGAGCGTAAACATTAAAAATAAAACAAGTGAGCAGCAGGTGCGCTCCTGATCGAATCTTTCGGTTCAGAATTTCAAATACAAGACGATAGAGCAAGACAATTTGTTGCCTAAAAAACTTGACCCAAGAGAGGACATAGGTTTAAAGCTGTGAGCGAAGCACGGACAAGCGTGACCAAGTGGATTGGCGTGATTTTCAAAATGCCGCGCGACGGTAAGACAGTGCAGCTCCATGGTTAAATTCAGCCTGGTCAACACCACACAATGAAAAAGAAACGCTTGATAAGCGTGACGAATGCACAATAGAGAGACTAGGGGACACAAATTGGACGAAAAATATAACAGGTGAGGTCCGAACAATGGAAAAACTAACCTGATAATTTGATCTTCTTCACTGTTTTATTGGAATTGTTGTCTACGAGTACGTTGACTGCTATGGACTCGCCATGGTAGTATTTCTAAAACAGGGACAGTTGGACCGGAAGCACTAATAATGCCAGTGTAGGCGACGCGAAAAGAAAACCGCAGGGTGAGGTTAGACGGAATGCGAGAAGCAGAGTTGAAACCTCCACGTGTAACAACCATGTGGTTAATAAGAATTCACTGCGAGCGAAATCATTTACATACATGGAACCAACGCGAGAATTCCTTTAGGGTTGATGAGAAGCACACACAGGCGCACACGTCCTCGGAGCTTCGTAAGAGTGTTGTCCCCCAACCTAATGGAACCGGATCTCTGAGGGGATAGATCACTCGATCGGCATAAGAATGCTAACGTAACCTAGTGTAAACGAGCCAGGAATATGCGCAGTCACTGCCAACCAATCATCGCAGGAGTTGACCAACTATCGTTTGTGTAACCAGGTTGCGTGGGTGACTCATGCCACCACAAAATGACAGAAAAGAAAAGGAGGAAAAACAAAATATATGGAGAGAACGAAAGCCAGCAGATGGAGGAAGTGCTAGACAGAAGCAACGAATTTGCCCTGGAATACATACTCAAAACAAGTTAGATCACGATGACCGGCATATCACTGTCATCAGCGGGACAAGTACTGACACTGAAAATGGGGTTACGCGTGGAACGCGAGTAGTACATACGCATGGACCGAACTACAGTATGTCCGATCTACTAGGTATGATAATAAGAACTATCTGGATGAAGTTATCTATGCCATATGTGATGACTACCCACCACCGGTAACTGTGATATTTTCCGGGATATGAACAAAAGTTTCTCACAACCCTAGCATCGGTATCCATACGTAATATCGCTGTTAGCACACATCGATGGCATGGAAGCACGAATACAGCGCAATGGTTTATCAATGAAAGGTAGGGTGGCCCGTGTTGAACAAACCTAAATATAACGGTAAAGGTGTTCGAAATAAGCCCATAGCTAGATCAAAAAGCCAATCCAGTAAGGTCATAAGGCAGCCACAACACAAAGAGAGGAGGCATCAGCAGTACATCGGCACATTGTACCGACGGTTCGCTGCCACGCGACCACAAACAGTCACGCGAGGACTGGGTATACTGCGCGGTCGTCTGCACCTGTGCGGATTCGAACCGGCGACCCCTGGATGACAAGACAAGTATGTACGTATTTCGGCTACCGGCTGATGAACCGCCAAGTTGGCAAGAAATGCAAGTAATGAGAGCGAGAAGTCAGATGACTGGCAAGTTGGACACATAAGTGAGCATGTGTCGACAACAAGGATGGAGGCAGCAAAAACGTACACGAGTACCTGGTCGTGGATAGTCAAACGACTATTCTTTGCGACTAGATATGTTGGGCAATCGGAGCAGTACGTCAACTGCCTTTTGAGTGACACAGTAAGATAAGGTGGAAGATTTCACGAGGACTGGAGATAAACAGCACGAACGAATAGCCGACACCCCAGGTAGCGGTGAACCACAGTAACTAACCGGACATGAAGATGAAGTATGATGCCGTTTTAGCTGACAGAAAAGCGGAAAAGCTTGTGGTTGATGGTTCAATGACAGCAAACGGTTTCGTATCAATTAAACCAAGCGTATGAAGTCTAACTGCACAAGTAGTGTCGTTAGTGATAGGGTAGAGTAGTAGAAGCGAACCAAGGCGATAAAACTGACGTAACAGTTTGAATGACTGCTCCGTGAAGAGCAAAAAACGACTTGGAGGCGCAATTGGATTGACCGGGATGTTGGACCGAGCCTTGCTAACACACACACACACACACATACACACACACACACACACACACGCATACTGACCTTTTCCTCGCGTGACTTTGTGTGAATGTCAGCAATCGGTGGAAAGGGCCGCATCGACCGTGATTGGAAGCCAAAAACACTGTTACACAAATCCGACCGATGGAATGTTCCTACGGCAACATCGTTGTTGTGGCATGCACGCCCACGAGCTAGCAGTTAGCAGTCGTCAAAATGCGAACAATGTGTGCAGATGAAAGAGACGCCGAACATGGTATGTTCGAGTTTGTAGACAGGGCGTTCTGATCTGGCAAAAACACCTGACTCGGAGTAGTGATGCATAATAGACCACAAACAGTAAGCGAGGGCAAAAAACAGCTAAGGCAGTCTAGTGATGGAGCTGCGCAAATAAGCCAATCAAATAAGGAAAAAATGATTTGATCGGTTTTATCTCAAGAGAGAATGGAGTAGTTGCATTGTATCCAAATGAGTAGTCAGAGGCAAAAACGAGTCGAACAAAGCTCTTTTGTATCAGAGGTCTCTGTCGCTAACGATACATACACGTGATACATGTCAAGAGATATCCTCCTCACGACACACATCACTAACAAGGTGGGAGGTATCAAACTCAGTTTCTTATCGGAGTGTCTAGTACATAGTATTAGCACGTAACTGACAACAAAATCAGCCACAGCAACATAGTCAAGGATGTTGCTTCGTCCTGCAATGTCATCCATACAATCCGGATGAGCACGACAAATTCAACTAGGCTGCCTGTCAGCAAGTCCAACAGCAAGTGAGAGATGAGCTAAACATAGCTAGGGAGCCATGTGTATGAGGTGGTGTGTTGAGAGAAATTACACAGCTGTGGACCGTGTGAGCAGTGAGAAGGACAACTTCGGAAGCTCCCGTCAGGATTTGATAAAGCGACAAAGAGATTGTGGAATGCGTAGTTAGATCGACTAGATGAAGTCACAATGCGCTCCGTGTGCATTTGTTTCAAATCAGACAGATATAAAGGTGCTAAAGAAAAGAAATACCGAGGAAGCCGAGTAGAAATGCACAAAGCATTGCTGTTAGACATACACGTACCAATCGGGCCGCAGTTTGATTGCAGCTGGGTGAGTGGACATGACACATACCTGGCGCTTGGCCCAGGGTAAAATGACACCGGTTCAAAGGTATGTACGTATGTAATCTCAACAGTCTAGCAACTAGACATAGAGCCAACAAAAAGCATGGAGATTAGCAGATAAGGGGAAATCACTGCGTCATAAACATCATGGCATAGTAGTTGAAGGTGAGCAATACACTTCAGCTAACGTGCCGCAGGAAGAAAGGAACATTTTGACGAAAAGTAGAACAAACCATTTTTAATAATGCCGTAAGAAGACGAACACTGGCAGATGTCAACATTTCGTATTGTCTCTTCAGTGCCAACACAACAACATGAAAATATATAAGATGACAGGTAGGGTGAGACCGGAACAAGTTAGACGTCTGCCAGTGTTCGTCTTCTTACAGCATTATTCAAACCATTTTTAGTTTGTTTTTCAGATGCCGATTTTTCTCTTTTTGTCATTTGCAATGTTTGAAGTATCACACATGTGGATCAATACAATTCTGTACATAATCCTTCCAATGATTCCGGTTGCGGGCCGTCTCCAAGAGTGCTAAGACATTGACACTCCTCATCATTGGGTCCCCATCCTGGAAGACGTACGGATCCAACAGCGGCTTGACACGACGTCAGCGATTTTATGTGCTGCCGTCAAGTGGAAGACTGACCACCACGCGGTCGCTTCCAGCCAGGTCCTTGACGAGCGAACAGAGCGCGACGCGGCAGACGCTTAGGTGCCATGCGTAGGACGTGACTGAGCCATCTGAACTGGCGCAGGAAAACCAGTTTGTTGAAGGGAATACTCGCATTTCCCAAGATGTGACGTGAAACGTCATTACTGTTAACTCGATGTTGCCACCAAATAACCGGAAAGCTAAGGCAAGCAGGATGCCTGCTAGTTAGGTGCCGTCACTTCCATTACTGGCTCCAAGAGATGAGCTAAAGGAGATGGTTGCATGGTCTTTGGGACAGTGATATGAGCGTTTCTTCAAGCAAGTTCAGGCTGATCTGGCCGTTGCAGTGGTTAATGAACGGTGCCCTATCTGCAACCTCCAGCTGTCTGGATATGGGGGTGAGGATGCTAATCTCCAGTCCGTCACATCATCTTCTTTTCCCTGTTATGCTTCCTTTCCTAATTATCGTCTCATTCCAGCTCCATACTTATCCCCCAGTTTTAAACCCACAAACCTTGGCCCCCCACCATCCTGGTTTAATAAGCAGTTGATTTCCAGGTTCGACTCACAGACGAATCGTGTGATGTCATTTCTGCCCTGTCGACAAGTCTAGATGAAATAAAGCGGACAACCCCAGTTCATCCGCTTCCATTTCGAGTGCCCGATCCCGCCAAAGTTGGCATGCCTCAAGTTCGTTATATATTGATCAAAAAGCAGCACTTCCTCGAACATTAGAGACCATGTAGATAAATAACTGCGGAATATCGGAAACTCGCCTGAAAGACTCGAATTCAGTGCACACTCTACGACCTCCACCATGTGACACAGGAAGTCGGTTTTCGCTATGAAACAACGACCGACAAGTAGCCTCCGAAATGACAGGGAACGTTGGTAGGTGTCAAAGGCCCTAGAGCTAAAGAAAGCCAGTGCAACTGAGAACATTCGAATACTGTACAATCTAATACGGAACACGGGTCCAATAAAGCCCTCAGTTAGCGAGACAGTAACTGAGAAGGACGGATCTGTAATTCACTTTCAGCAAAGTCTACTAGCCAGTTAGACTGAACATCCTGAATAACAGTTCGACAATCATGCTGCGATACTGCCGGTTGTTTAATCACTCGATTCGATGTGAAACGTTGATGACATGTTTTACACTTTGGGAGAAACGACATCAGCTTGCCGTGTTGAAACGGAACAAGACTCCTGGATCCTACGACCTTCTTCCATCTTTGTTGAAAGATTGTGGAGATTCTTTACTGACTATACTTGCTGTTCTATTCAATACGATTATGGATAGTGAAGAGGTGCCTTCAGACTGACGTGCCCATCACCAAAAGGAGTAACAGGATTTAGTGCGAAAATCACCGAGACATTAGCCTTCTTTCCAGTACCTCCAAGCTACTCACGGGCAGCATGATTCTCAGACTGACTGGTTCTCGTGAAAGGGAAAGCACTGAAAGCTAGGATGATTTCCGTCCTAGTAGTGGTTGCATTGACCACATATTTACTCTTCATCAAGCATCTGAGCAGAAAAACACCTACAGACGGCCGAGTATGGAGGATTTCCTAGAGTTTAAAGCCGCCTTCGACTCTGTTGACCGTGCCAGCTTGTGAACACTGTCTATCCATGAAGAGCTCCCGAAAACTCCTTTCCATTCTGGTCTTTCTACCGTGATTTCTGAGACCGTGTAAGGGTCCATGGGAAACTGTCTCCTGAGTCCCTCAGGACAAGTTGGGTGCATCATGGCTGTCCTATATCTGATTTCCTCCTCAATTTTGTGATCGAAATGATTACACATGAGTCCGTTCTTTCAGACTTCCGGGTGACCGACTGAAAAAGCGAGGGACTGGCGCTACGGTATGAGATGTGAACCTTCAAAGCGCTAGGTACTGTTGCAGGACTGAATAGACAAGCTAGCGATAGTAGCTATCAGCGATCAGCCAATGAAAGTAGTGGATCGGTTAATTTACCTTGGTAGCAGTGTCACATCTGGTGTTCACAGCATTGAGGGAGTTAATTCGCGTATCAGCAAGGCCCGTGCGGCATTTCAGAGGCTTAACCATTTATGTAAACGGCAGAATAGCAGCCATTCAATGGAAGGTAGGGTATATAACGTTACGATACGGGTGGCGTTACTGTGTAAATCACAGACCCGGCCAACGCGTAGTAAAGAGATTAAAGGCTTGGGCGAGTTTAGTCACCTCACCGGGTGAGGAATGTTGAGGCCCACCAATTGGCTTCTGGCCTCACTCGAGTATTTGCTTAGGCTCAAAGACTAGGTCATATCCTCCGTATACCTGTCGACAGGCTTCGTCGGGGTGCAATATAAGCTGTGGTTACACCAAATCGAGCGAAACGGTGAGGTGACCAATTCATGACGTGGCATATAGGCACGGAAAATGACAGTGAGACTTAGACTGGTGCGTGTGGTCTTCTAAGATGGATGCCTCGGGATGGTCCACAATAGTGGTTGGAGACAATCAGACATGACGCAGTCTCGCAGTCAGTGGCGTACTTGCATTCAGTTTCTTCTATCTAGTTGCTAATTTTTATTCCATCACCATTAGTTTAGTATATTTCCTTTTTGGTACCGGTTCTTTGTACTTTTTGTTTTGGTGATGTGAGTCGGGGCAAATGGATCCACGGCACTTTGGTGCCCGAATCATGGTTGTTCAATTGAACTGAAATGAAGATGCACGCCTACTTTTCGCGGGTACCAACATCCGGCACAGCACCATCAAAGGTGACATAGTGCCCACCAGCCTCGGAAACATCGCGAGCAGTAACGACTGGAGAAACCGTTTACAAGATTGTCGTGGATTTAGAGTATAACCGTGGACTCCAGCCATGAAACGATATGCGCTGATCCGCGGGTGCATCTCGGTGGACACCGGAGACGACGATGTGAGCGCAGTCACCCGCCTACAGGTTAAGCTAGATGCTTTGAGTGCGCATCAAAATACGCTGACATTCGGATGGGGTAAACGCTCACTGAAAACGGTGGGTCACTGGCCACATGCATACCAGAGATTAATAACTGTACATATATCTTCATGCGGTAAATCTAACTGCGAACCTACACAATGGGTCTACATACATGATAGAATTTCTGGTTGCTCGTCGATGCATTTCGGTTGGAAACGACCACGAGATTCGCAAAGCCCTGAGGGCAGATAGTCCCGCTTCATGGACCCTAATTTTGGATCCCGCGCTCGCTCAAAGATCGGAGGATAAATAAGAATGCTGATGTTAAAGAAGGCTGCGGGACAAGATCTTCCTCCAGCTCACTTCAAATTCGGGGGACATACTCCTACGGAAGATTGAGACAATGTAGTAGCAGAAGTGTAGGAGCAGGAAAATGTACTAAGAGACTGTAGCTGCTCACTTATTGTCCCCATCTTCAAAAGAGCTCACGTCCGGAGTGAGAGAAGTAGGCTTGATCTACATCGCCTTCAAGTTGTTTGTTTCTGTCTTCCCTCACAGATTGCTTGGCGCCCGTGAAAGTCAGGTTCGTGATGAGCAAGCCGGGTTTCTCAAAACTCGGGGCCGCACTGACCACATCACATTAGGCAAGTTTTTGGAGCGCCGCCACATCAACTCGCGATACACCGTCAGAGAGCGCAAAGGCATCAAAGGGGCCTTTAATTTGGGACTAACTGTTCAGGAATGGTGTGTTCGGGAAATACTTGAATACTACAAGTGCGCCGTTTTTCAATATTTCCTGCGCTGTGAGACAAGGATTCCGACTGATAACGTTCCTTGCTAGGTTCATAAATGAGGAAGCTATGGAAACTGCGTTCACTGGACACAAGCTACAAAGTGTGGAGTTGTTACTGTAACTAATCTGTGACAGTTCACAAACGTGCTAAGTAGAACTGGATAAGTTAGTATCGACGGTTAATTGTTTTGAGCTATGCACCGCATCCTCGAAATACAAAGTCCTACTCCAAGATCGGCAGGGACCCACGTATGCGCTGACCCTTTGATGGTAAACAGCTAGAACTCGTAAAGAAATGCAAGCAACTAGACAACTATATTAGCGCTTGTGGAATAGAAGATAAAATCATGAACCGTATAGCAAAAGCTCCAGGTTCTTTAGCTAATCTCCGACACAGACGCGACATTACTCTCACCCCGAGACGCAGAGTTTACAACGGGGCCGTACGTTCGACCTACCTGTACGGTTGCGAAACCTGACCCATCAAATCGACAGACCCAAAGAGATTAATTACGTTCGACTATCGCTGACTTCGCAGTTTGGCTCATGTCTGGTGGGAGCACCGTGTGATCAATGTGTCCGACGCCTTGTATTTGGTGAAGGAAGAGTGAGTGAACCGTTCAGCGCCGTTATTTCACTAATCAGGTTCTGATGGGATGCCGGCATACGGACTCATGCGACGTGCGCTGTATGAGTGAAGTGAGTGTGAATGGAACGTAAGGGAGGGCCAACAGTTGACCTGGTCAAGAGGAACGTACACTCTTAATTCGAAGTGGTTCTCGGCTGGCGCATTTCGACGCCTTGTTCGGAGTCCGAAAGACGATTGACATATTTCGCCGGATACAACCATTGATGTGGTGAAGTACTGACCTCAATGGCGTTTGTGTTGTGAGTTTAACTGTCTGTCCCCTACCCGCTTACCCTTGCTGTCCATCGGCGATCTCAGCTGCGATGCATGACGCAATCTTCTTCTTCTTCTTGTTTTCGTTGTTTTTCCATCTCATTGTTTTCTACTACATTCTTCATTCTTTTCTACTACCACATAAACGGGTTGTGTCGCGGCACAATAGTTAAGCCGTTTCTCACCCCCCTAGCTAACACATACAAAAATGGTGCTGAGTGTGATAGTACCGCAGATAAACAGTGGTTGCACCACAAAACGATGGAATCGTAACCAAGAGTCTGCATAGTAAATCTGCTAAGTACGCCCCTTAAGTTCCCGTAGACGAGACAAAAGGAGGGAAACCGGAGAACCATAGAACAAAGGAAAGGTTTCGACTTCTTACAAACAGGGAGAGCAGTCTAATCAGTTCCTGACTGCCATAGTCAGAAACCCGGAGAATAGGGCGACTCACCTCCTTATCTAAGGAAGCTTCTAGTCGTAGACACCCGGGACTCATAATAAAGTCCTTCACAACGACTGCAGATGGCTGAGGCGCGGGTTCCTCGGGAGCATACGTTAGCTTGCGTATAGCGAGGCGCACGGAATTCCTGTGAAAGAGGTGTAAGAAAACATACGAACATATAGGGGTGGTGGCAACGCTAGTCAGCTACATGCGCAGTGCGCAAGCATATCATCAAAGAGCAGACACCCGGAGCGGATTCACTGCGAGAGGCAACTCGAGATGAAAATCCGTTAGAGTGAGAAGTGAAGAAAGATGTGCACCATAAAAATGAGGGATTAGCGATGACGCAGTACATCGCGAGTCTAAGGTGGATCAAATACATTAGTACGAAGAAAGGTATCAATACATCGATTCGCATGGTTCGCAGTTTGCAAGAAAATAGCTGAACGCCGCATGCTTTGAACAAAGAACAAAATAGTTGTTGTCCTTGGGTCACTCGAAAAAGAAACAACAAAGACGACCAGATTCTCCATACATCTTAAAAATAGGGTCGATAAGTGCCTGGTATGGGAAATATGAGATGATCGCACCACATGCTAGAGGAGTTAACACAGTTGGAAAGTAGCTGACGAATAAACAACGAGTAATGACTGCACAAGGAGGGCGAACGCAGGTAGTTACCAAGTTCGTCCGAGACGGGAACAGGCTACCAGCCAGAATACGTGCTTGCACTCTTAAACACTACTTTAGAAAAATTATCAACACGCTCCTGACTGCAAAAGAAGTAATCAACTGGTTGGTTGTTCCATAAAAGGCATCGGTAGTACGCCGTACCGACGTTTCGCTGCCAAACAAACACCACCAGTCGCGCGTGGGCTAAGGATATTGCACGGTCCCTTACGCAGGTTTGAATCCGCAACCTCCGGGTTATAAGACACCATGTCCCTTCGGCCACGACAAGTCAAGCTTACGAGCAGGGTCCAGGTTTCGTATGACCCAGTACATGTTCCGCCTCCAACCTTTCGCCAGTGAATTAGTTGTTATATATGAAGGTATATGAGAGATCAAATGCCAGGAACATGATTGCATGTCGGTCAATCATTTATTATGCCTCTGCTGTTCTACGAAACGTCAGTATGTGATTTGGTCGTTAATTTTCCTGATTCACCTGTGATCAACGTTTCATACAAGTACGCATTTACCCGATCATGCAGACGCCGACGTGGCTCACATCGTCGACAATGAAAGTTTATTTATATATTGTTACGGGGAGATAGCTTGCATTCAGAGTTCAAGCCGAGAGCGGTGGCGCAAGAGTGGATCGATCTACAATTGGAGATCGAACTCGAGTGGAGAAAAAAAGCGAATCTATGTGGGATTAGCAGGACATTGGACCATGAACTAGAACCATCTGAGTTGTGTTAAATAATAGTAATTAGTACCTCTAATATTGTTTTGTTACTAGTTGCCTACAACCCACTCCCTGCGCAATGCTCTCACACAATATGAATTCCTCGGTCCGGTTAGTCTTGGCGTCCTCCTTTCGTGTGGGAAAGAACTGGTTAGGGGCGACACAACTGATTCAGGCAGGTTATCCGTACAGACAGTGGAACCCACAACAGATTTCCGGCGACGGTCAGCTGCATGGTAGCAGCAGGTTAGCCGTACGTTCAGCGGTAACCACAACAGATTTCTGGGGACGGGAGGTAAACTTATCTATCTTAGCAGAACAAAAACTATTTTGCCACAACAGCAGCAGCAGCAGTTCGAGGCTGCACAGCTACAAATGATGGAGACCCTCACAAGAACACTGTCGCTCGAATGGGAGAGCGGAAGGGAGCGTGAGTTCATCGAGGCCTAGCATTAGGGCCGGAACTCAATCAACAAGCACCCGGAGGTAGAGCAGAGCAAGTCTGCACTAGGCGTCAGACAAACAGGAAGACGAAGTGATCATTTGGCCGATCCACGTGAGTCAATCGACAGCTAACATTCAAAGCAGGACACGATCAATAGCCACCCGGATCTGCAACTGGCTCACGAGGCTCTGCGATTCAGAGTTTGAAAGCCGCATTGATGATGTTGCCTAGCTTGGCGACGAAACGTCTGTAACTGAAACGCCCAGCCGGAGAACAAAGCAACATTCTCATAATCAGCATTACTCCATAACGCGAATGAAAACAAGACAAATGATGTAGTCCGCAGGCCAATCCTGGACCTAACATGAGCGAATGGAGAGCGCACTACTCGCGCTGCCAGTGTTTCGATGTAAACGATGCTTAGAGATGAAGAGTCGGGTACTTCATGTCATCTGCCTCCGAAAAGTCGGATATGCCCCATTTGGGTGGCATAATATATAATAATAATAATAATGTGTCAGCTGTACGGCGTAACGGCGCTTCGCTGCCGCGCGACCACCACCAGTCGCGCGCGGGCTGAGTATACCGCGAGGACGCTCACCCCTACGCGGATTCAAACCGGTGACCTTTTGGTTGCAAAACAAACGTGCAGATCACTCGGCCACCGGCCGACCATTTGGGTGGCAACACACCCTGATCGAGACAGAAGTGCCATGTGAAATAACAGGTAAATAGAGAAGGAACGTGAATCATCTCATGAAGATAGCTAAACTCCTGCTATCCCTGTTTCGAAACTCATCACCAGTAGCATAAAAAGTGTAGTCACAGAAGGACCATATCTGAATTATTAAAACGATACTGATGTTATAAATTTATCCTATACGACTACAACAAGATAGTACACAAATTTGTGGTCCGCCCGTAACAGGCCCCACGAACGGTGAATTCGGCTGTTGCGAAGGAGTATCACTAATCGGACGAAGCAGTCTACAGTATGGCATATGTTCCTCGACTGCATGATATAGAAACACTGAGACTGGAGAAAGCAACAAGTGGTTCGCAAAATAGCAAGGTGCAATCGGTTTGTGACACCAAGGGTGTGATCTTTGTGGAACCCAAGTGGAAGCTACCACTAAGTAAGGGGAACTTGGTGGAAATCACTCCATGTGTGATGAATAACAGCTGAGTGTCGCGAGGGGGTGCTTAAGTTACTGGCGCAGAAAACAGATAGAACAGCCGAGTTGTTTTCAATTTAAGTCAGGTTACATGACGACGGATCAGCTTGGTAAAAGTTGTTAGCCGCAACATTGTGAGGGTGGTAAAAAATATCCCAGTAACGTCGTCGGTGGAAGGAATACCATCAAGTCGTGGCTTGCTGACCGGGCATTGCCACTCCAAGCGAAATCAACATAGATCGAGCTCAAAAAACTATCAAATAGATTGTCACTGTAAAACAATCCAGATCGCCAGTAACCGGCGTAATTCAATGACAGGCGTCACTAAAGCGAAGGATCAAACGGTCAATCAGCCTTATCATGTCGATCCGAAATACTCAGGACAAGAAGTGAAACATGGCGTATTAATCCGCAAAGTCAGTGGTGGGGTAATCCTCTATACAGCCCAGAGAAACCTGAGATGATCATTTTATTACGTTCTAACTCTAACAGAGGGAGTTTCTGTGACACATAATCGCCTAGATTTATCAGAAAACTATCTGGAATTATATCTGGACAAGAGACATGCTGGTGTGCGAAGGACCGATAAGTTCAGCAAAGTTGAAAGTGCATGAAGCACTGTCGGTCGAATAATAACAAACGGATGTTACTTCGACTTTCGGAAAGAACATAGGCATGTAAGATAGGGGATATGCAGACACTTGTTAAATCACTCAAGACAGCGTGAACAGCAATGTGAATTTCGAGCACATCTCATCAACATACCCTATCTTAAAGCCTACTACTTCAAGAAGCACCAGCCGGTACGTCGTAGAGACTTGCGTTGCCAAGTGACCACAAACAATAGCATGCGGGTTGGGGATACTGCAGAGCCGTCCACGCCTAGGTAGGTTGGAAATGATGACGCCTTACACCAAACGGCCACCGGCCGACTACAAATCTTCAAAACCGCAAAAGAGCTAAGAAATCACAGTATGGATCTGATTGAACGGATGAGGGGATTGTCCAAACCATGCTGGTCAAATCGCAATCGTCCTCTAAAAAATCGAATTTACTACGAAAGGCAATGAGGCAATGAGGCTGGACCTTACCGTGGTGCGATGGTTTGTGTGCCTCAGCGATCCATTGAGCTACGCTGGGTGGTGCTTTTGCACCTTCAGAGTCACTCATACCAGATTGGTCAATGGTTAGAGGCCAGACAAACTCAGCCTCCTGGTCCTCCAGGTTGGGGGTTGGAATGAGGGTGGCACCTTATTCCTTAAAATGGACTCCTTGTAGCCCAACGCCAAACCCGCTGCCTTGCGGTCAGGTTTTTGAACCAAAGGCTTTGGTTGAGAACCCTAATCGTTCTCCTGTCTAGACCTGGGCAACCTGACAGTATCCTGTCCACGCAATACCATGAATTTTTCTTCAAACAATTTCTTGATGCTCTGGCCACCGCAGAGGATAATAAACGGTGCCCTATCTGCTGCATCGAGCAGGGTGGATAGGGGTTTGGATGCTACTGCTCAAGCCTTCCCGTCTTCTTATTCCCCCTCTTACGCTTTTTCACTCTTACCGTCCCATTCCAACTTCACTTATATCCCCCCAGTTTTCAACCCCCCGATTCTTGGCCCTCCCCCAACATGCTTTGCTAGGCATTTACCTTCTAATTTCAACTCACACGTGAACGCGGAGTGTCACTCCTCTCCTGTCGACAAGCCCATGTCCAACCAAGCGGTCCAATCCAGTTCATCGGCTTCCATTTGGAGCCCTCGATCCTCCTTCAGATTGGCATGCCTCAATGTACGCACACTGCTACAAATCGGTCAACAGGCAGCACCTGCCCGAACATTGGAGACCCTCTCGATCGATATCTGCTGCTTATCAGAGACTCGCCTGCAAGACTCGAGCACTGTGCTCACTCTGCGATCCCCTTCAGGGGACGCAAACAGTATTTTCTCCTTGCGCCTATCCGGTGACGATGCAGCTTCGAGCACCGGCCAAGCCGGTGTTGGTATTGCCCTGAGTCCCCGGGCTGAAGCTGCTCTGGTTGATTGGATTCCAATCAGTAGCCGGATGTGTGCGGTCCGATTGGCTGGCTCGTTTAAAGCTTCGAAGTCGCGTGGGACTAA